GAGCCATTCTTGTTTCCAAAAAGTGCCAAGCCACAGCCTCGTAAGCGTACGTGCCAACACTTAATAGCATCTGACATTTGTGGAGTGTCTTCAACTTTTCAAAATCCTTTCACTTACCAGGACTGACAGACAAATGGGCAAGCATGCCACACAGAGACACACACCCTCCCGTGACTCACAGCCAAAATGCTCTCAAACGACCTGCAACCCCAAATGAAAACGACCAAAGCATTAGGCACGAACGAGGTTTGAAGACTGATAACAGTCAGAAGGTAAATGCTGTACCAACCTACCCTCTGACTCTGCTTTCTCCCAAGAGGCATGGAAACCAGAGCTGGGAATGAGGGTCAGGCACAATGCTCAGAGAGCCCAGGCAGGGGTAGCCAACCCTTGTTTTCCCCAGGACTCCATTCCCAGCAAGGGGTACAAGGACCACCATCCATACCATTATCTTCCCAAACGTCCATTCATTCTCTCCGCGGTCGTTCGTCAAGCGCCTACTTACACCAGGCACCAGGCTACCCAATAGGAACACGATTCTGCACAAGACAAGGTCCAAGGTCTGGAGAGACTCACAGTTGTGTTGAAGGAGGAGCCAGTCATGTAAACAACTCCTTAGATCACATTGGGATCAGTGTTTTGGACAGCGGCGCTAGAGGCATAAGAGGAAGAAAGGCTATGGAAGGCATCATAGAGGAGGCAATTTTGAGTGGGGTATTGAGGGATGAGTAGGAATGGGCCCGGTGGATGGACAAAAAGAGAAAAGCATCCCCAATAGAGAGGAAAACGTTTCAGATACAGGTGAGTGGGGAGGGTTAGTGAGAGACCCCACATTCTTGCAGAATAGAGGACATGGAAGGGGGGGACAGGTGATATGGAAGGTTGAAACTGATGATGATGGTGTCTTTGTGCTATGCTCCAGAATCAAGGCTTCACTCCGTGGGAAGTGGCCTTGGGGCTGACTGCACATCAGGACCACTGGGCAGCTTTTAAGAATCCAGATCCTCAGGCCTCACTCTTGATCTCCTGAATCAGAATCTTAGGTAATGTGGCCCAGGCACCTGTATTTTTTTTAAGTTCCAGTTTGCTTTAACTCTGATGTACTAATCCGTAAAACATAAGCAACCTTATTATAGGAGGAAAACTTCCACATCATTGTGAAGGGCTGGGGGAGCCATAAGAGAGAGTCACCCGTCCTGTCTTCAGACCAGGTATAGACTTTTATCTAGACCAAGAGGCTGGGCCAAGCAGCCAGTCTTTAGAGGCAGGTGCAAATGCTGATGACTGAGAAGCACCACCAGAGCGCTGGAGAGCCAGCAGGGAGCTTCGAAACACATCACTGAGAAAGGGCAAGAGAAGGTGAACCACAGCCTAGGGCAAACATGTATCTGATGGGTCTCCAAAACATCATGATGAGGGAAAGAAGCTAGACACAGAAAGAATATATTCTGTATGATTTCATTTACATGAAATTCTAGAAAAGGCAAAGTAACCTGTAGTGACAGAAAGCAAGCCCCAGCCTGGGCCTGAGGGCTGGAGGATGATTGACAGCAAAGTGGCGTGGGAGAAAATTTTGGAAGATGTCCTATATTTTGATTGTGGTTGTATTTACACGGGGATACACCTCTCTGTGAGTCAAAACTCACTGAAATGTACTCTGAAAATGACTGCATTGTTATTGTATGCAAATTATACCTCAGTGAAATTGATTTTAAAAGGGGGACAAGAAGGGCGCCTTGGGTGGCTCAGTCAGTTGAGCATCTGACTCTTGATTTCAGCCCTGGTCATGATCCCAGGGTCTTGAGATCAAGCCCAGTGTTGGGTTCTGTGCTGAGCATGGAGGCTGCTTAAGATTCTCTCTCTCTCTCTCTCTCTCTCTCTCTCTCTCTCTCTCTTTCTCTCTCTCTCTCTCTCTCTCTCTTTCTCTCGGCATCTGGGTGGCTCAGTCAATTGAGCGTCTGACTTCAGCTCAGGTCATGATCTCGCAGTTCGTGAGTTCAAGCCCCACATCAAACACTCTGCTCTCAGCACAGAGCCCATTCTGGATCCTCTGTCCCTTTTCCCCTGTCCCTGCCCTGCTTGGGTGCTCCCTCAAAAATAAAACCATTTTAAAAAAATTTTTTAAAGAGCCAAATTATGGAAAGAGCCTAGATGTCCATCAACTGATGAATAGGTAAAGAAATTGTGGTTTATATACACAATGGAATATTATGCGGCAATGAGAATGAAACATGGCCTTTTGTAGCAACGTGGATGGAACTGGAGAGTGTTATGCTAAGGGAAAGAAGTCATACAGAGAAAGACAGATACCATATGTCTTCACTCTTACGTGGATCCTGAGAAACTTAACAGAAGACCATGGGGGAGGGAAAGGGGGAAAAAAAGTTACAGAGAGGGAAGGAGGCAAACCATAAGAGACTCTTAAAAACTGAGAATAAACTGAGGGTTGATGGGGAGTGGGAGGGAGGGGAAAGTGGGGGATGGGCACTAAGGAAGGCACCTGTTGGGATGAGCACTGGGTGTGGTATGGAAACAAATTTGACAATACATTTCATAATAAAAATAAATAAATAAATAAATAAATAAATAAACCATATTCAAATTGTAAAAAAATAAACAAATAAAACAAAATACACACTTGTCAATAATTACAGTTTTTTTTTTAAACGTTTATTTCTTTTTGGGCCAGAGAGAGACAGAGCATGAACGGGGGAGGGGCAGAGAGAGAGAGGGAGACACAGAATCGGAAACAGGCTCCAGGCTCTGAGCCATCAGCCCAGAGCCTGACGCGGGGCGCGAACTCACGGACCGCAAGATCGTGACCTGGCTGAAGTCGGACGCTTAACCAACTGCGCCACCCAGGCACCCCATTATAATTACAGTTTTTATGAAGGGAAATAGAAACCACGTCTACTCTGGTCACTAAACCACTTAGGATAAGAGTGACTTGAAAATGGGACCCAGAATTAAAGACGGTTCTTGTGCGTGATGCCAATCCCTCACTGTAGCGAAAAGGTGGCATTATGCTCCAAAGGGCTGATGTGGTTTGTCTACCGTCAAGTCCTTATAATCTGGGAATAGCTCAATCTCGGGGGCGGGGGGGGGGGGATACAAAAGAGGGCAGGATTTATGCCTTTCAAAGAGTTCAGGTAGTAGTGATGGTGGACGCAAAGGGTTCATGCATGGCCCTTTCCACGGCGGAGCAGGGTCGCTCTCTCCCATCGCCCTCACCCCCTCACCTCGACTCTCTGACACAGATCGAATGACAAGGGAAGTAGAGTGTGTCATTCCAGCTCCGAGAAAGTCCTGGGAGGTCCAACGGGCGCAACGGGAACTGGGCTTGCCCCCTGAGGAGCGCCATCCCACCTGGCTTCGGCCCCAGCTCCCTGCTTTCCTCTTCCTTGCCCAGCCCCACCTTCATGTGCCTTCCTGAGAAGCACAAAGCCACTCTGCTGCTGTGCACTTGTCCATCTGGCCACCATACCTGCAAGAGGAGAGAAGCCTGGGCTGGGCACAGCTGTGTCAGAGGCATGCTAGGAAGGTTCCCCTGCTGGCCCAGCTCACCCCATGTTCCAGCTTCCAGGTTCCAGCCCTGCGATCCCATGGGTGAGCCAAACAGAAAGCCAGCCTGGTCATAGGGACCCACTGAGTCCTGTGTCCTCCCAGCTCATCCCGGCTCTGGCATAAATGTTCAGGATGTTGGTAATGGACCATAGAATGGGGTAAGGGCAGTACTTCTCCAAGCCCAAACAGACCTAGATCGCACACGGCCTCCTTGCCCATTCTGCAGCCCTGCTACGCAGGTCCAATCCTCTTTTCTCCCATATTCCTCTGCTCCCCCACCCTGAGGCTTGGGGACCCCCCATGGCTCGGGAGTATCTCTCTCTTCCTCAGTCAGCACTGCAGTTAATATCCCTGCAGTCTACCACGGGGCTAGGAACTCACAGAGAGCGACCCCGGGCTTCTGTCTCTGCAGCCCCTCTCTGAATCTAATCCCTGTGCCCAGTCATGCTGAGGCCCAGCTCTGCTGCTCTGGTCCCCAGACAGAGGGCTCTGGGAATAAGGACCATGAATCAACTCCTTGGTCACAGGAGCCCCAATGCCTAGCACAGGGCCAGGCACAGATTAGGCACTCTATTTGCTTTATTATTTACATTTTAGTTACTATAATTGTAATAATAATAAAATAATAATTATTAATAATCTGGTTTCTAGACCCTTAATTAATATGAATTAATAATAACAATGTGGGGCACCTGGCTCAGTCGTCTTAAATGTCAGACTCTTGATTTCGGCTTGGGTTGTCATCTCACGGTTTCATGAATTCCATCCCCGCATCGGGCTCTGCGCTGACTTCGTGGAGCCAGCTTGGGATTCTCTCTCTCTCTCTCTCTCTCTCTCTCTCTGCCCCTCCCCCACTCCCGCTCTCTCTCTCAAAATAAATAAACGTTAAAAAGATAATAACAACATTGCATCACTATTTGCCAGACACTTTTGAAATGTTCAGTATATGTTCAATGAATTCACTCTCAGGACAAACCTCTGAGTAGATACAATTATCATCCCTATTTTACAAATTAGGAAACTGAGGCACAGAATAGTTAGGTAAATGACCTATGACTGAACAGCTAGAAAGCCACATAGTCAAGGTTAAACCCAGGCAGTGTGGATCTAGAGTCTGTGCTCATAAACACAGTCTACACTGCAGGTCTACCAGTGAGACGCATTAAGCTTCTTCCCTATTCCTCACTTTGAAACCTGTCCAGGTGGGTCTGCAGGCAGCTGGTGTAGGACTCAAAGAAGGGCTGCAGGTCATGGGCACTGGCCCTGGAGGTGGCCAGCTGCTCCTGCAGGAGGCACCACTTGGTCTCCAGGAGCCATACCTGCGGTCAACCAGGGACGAGAGGTCATGGCCTGCCTGGCCTCCAGCTCACAAGCAGACCCACTGCCCCAACCCAGGCCTTATGTTCCCAGGCCCCCTCCCCACCACAGGCCCTCACCTTGTCGATGAAGGAAGCAAACTTGTCATTGAACATCTTGATTTGCTGCTTCTCTTGGCCTTCACCCTCCTGATCTAGAGGGTCGATTCCCATGTTCAGGGACTGAAGGAGACTCTGGTTGATGGTCACCTCCTGGATGCTGAGGGGAAAGCCCCCTGAACCCTCATGGCCCCCAGATCCACCAGGAATGCCTCCAAAACCACCATATCTCCATTGCCCCTTCCTCCAGCCTCACACAGGCTCCCTCCAAAGGCACCCAAACATCCCCAGCATCCCCACACTGAGCCCCCAGCCTGGGTGGCACACTAAGCAAGATTTTCTTGCTTCCCCCAAGGCTGTATAGGCTCTGGCTGCCAAAGGCACCCTGTATCATGACACAGGCTATGAAAGCAGGTTAGATAAAGGTGCCCCCTCCAAAAATGATGTAGTCCTAGGAGTGCAGAATTTCGTCATAGACAGTGGGCTGAATCTCTGTCCCCCACTCCACTCCGCTGCTTGGGCCTCAGCTAGAAGTCCTTTGTGGTAAAGCCTCATAAAGATCTGCTACAGCTCTGGTGGAAATGTGGTAAGAATGCTTGAGAAGTGGCACAATTTGTTTGTTGTAGGGGGTTTAGCGCAACCAATTATCTGCTGCCTTCTAAGTCTGCACCAGCCACCAGGATTTGGCATTGACTTTGCAGTGCAGACTACTACTCAGTAATGGCATTGCGTTTCCTAAGGACAAGGTTATGTTGTATCGTGATCCAATAAGGGAGTCCGTCTCAGATCCTCTCCAATCACCAGGATTGGATAGCAGGGGGTGGTGGAGGAAGAAGACACAGAAGGCTCCTCCACTGAGAACTCCCCGGCTGACAAAGGGAATGGAGGTGCACGCAGCACATGGAGAGACACAGAGACCCTAAAGCCACAGCAGGGCCATGAGCCTCAGGACCTGATCTCAGGATAAATTTGGAGCAATTCACACACACACACACACACACACACACACACACACCACACACACGCACACACACGCACACGCACACACACACACACATGCCCTCCATGAGACCTGAAGGGCCAACAGGGCTTTCCTAAAGACACATTATGACAGACTAGCTTTATCTCATTTTCAACAGGGGCCACTTGCCCAGTAAGCCAAAGGATACTACAGGTGTAGGGAAACAGGGTCCCAGAAAGATGCCAACTGGGTTGCTCATGAGGCAGATGGAGAAAGACCTGGAGGAAGTATAGCACCGGTAGCACATCCATGGCCAGCTGACTCCCATTCCCTGACCTGGACAGTGCCCCTTGACAGGGTGCTCGATCCTCCACCCTCATTCACTATGCACTCATCCAGTATCTGCTCTGGGCCCAGAACTGCCAGGTGCCGCAAACAATGGCTGTTGCCTGCTCTGCCTGCTCAGTCTGCCAGTTCACGGGCCAGCAAGGAAGGCAGACACGTCAATACAAAGGTACTGAGAAAGACAGGTGTGTTCAGGGCCTGCTGGTGACACGATGAGGGGGTGAGTAACTCTGCTGGTAGCTGAGGGGCAGACATGGAAATCTCTCCTCAAGAGCAGATGTCAGAGCCGAAGGAAGATGGGGTCTCGGAGAGTATGCCCACCAAAAGGGAAGCATTGGCAAAGGACCCAAGACTTGGAATAGTTCAGAGTGTTTAGGAAAATGGGAGCATTTTTGCTCACTGGTAAAGGTAATACAGAAAAGGGTGTGGTGTTCTGGGACTGCGCTGGAGAAACAGGCTGAGCCCCTTCAAGAAGGCCTGATAGGTCATATGAAGATGTCAGATTGCGTCCTCAGGCAATAGGGAGCACTGTAGGACTTAATGGGGGAATAACATGGTAAGATTTGTGCTTCAAATGCAATGCAGACACCCTCAAAGTCCTCCAACCTCCCAGATCTTGCTTCCCTTTAATAACCAACCAAATGTCCAACCCCCATTTCAATTCTGCAGGGAGTTCAGTACCTCCCTCTCCCCCACACTCCTGTGGAGCCCTGAGCCAGACCTTCCCTGGTCAGTCTACAATACATCTTCCTACCTGTTGCTCCCAGTCACCAAGACCGCCGTCTGCCCCTAGCCCACCCTGGCCAATAGCTGACCCCAACCCTCTTCCTTTGCCAATGATGTACTGTAATGAGAGTACAGTACGATCCAGGAATGACCCCAGTTCCTTATCTGACATCCCTGTGATAGAAATGTCATGGGCATCCCCTGGGAAATGCTTCCTTGACCATGGCCTCCATGTGTGATCTCCTGACATGTTGTAGGAGCCACTCTTCCTCCCTCTCTCTCTGCCCCTCCCCAACTCACATGCTCTCTCTTTTGCTCTCAAAAATAATTAAAAAAAAAAACTTAAAAGAAAAAAAGAAGTAAGGATACAAACAACCCATAGTACTTCAATTCTATGGAATACTCTTGGCAATAAAAAGAAGCAAACTATTGATACACACAACAAATTGGAGGCATCTCAAAGGCATTATGCTGAGGGAAATAAGTCAGTCTCAAAAAGTTACCTACTGTGTGACTTGTTTATATGAGATTCTCTGAGAGACTAAACTATAGTGACAGAACAAGTCAGTGGTTGCCCATGGTTAAAGGTGGAGGGAGTGTGTCACTATAAAAAATAACATTCAGGAGTTTTGGGGGGTGACGAAACTATTCTGGACCCTAACTGTGGCGGTGGCTTCACGAATCTATACTGCATAACTGTTAAAATTTATAGAATAGTTCACCCCAAAAAAGTCCATTTTAACATATGATAATTAAAAATACAGACAAAGGAAAAAGGAACATGTTGAACAATATCACGGCAGAGGGGTAGAGGTGGGGGAACACTAAATTAGCAGGACACTAAATCTACAAGACAAATGACCAGGTTTCTTCAAGAAATAAATTACAAGGAATAAAAAAGAGGGATATGACCCAATTGCAATGCATGAACATTTTTTAGATCCTGATTAAACAAGTGCTTTTAATGCAAACATTCACAAGACATTATAGGAATGTGAACTCAGACTGGATTTTTTTTATTTGAATATAGTTGATAAACTGGACTGAATTTTTTTTATCAAAGAATTAATGTTTATCCTGTTAAGAGTGATAATTTTAATATGGTTATATTATTTTAAAAGTCCTTATCTTTTAGAGAAACTTAAGGACTATGCATGAATAAAATAGTATGATGTCTGGGATTTGTTTCAACATAATCTGGAGGGGTAAAAGGAGTGGGGAGAATAGAAATGAAACAGAATAATGAGTTGATTGTTGAGTTGATCGTTGATGGGTACAGAAAGAAGCATTCATTTACTCTTCTGTCTATTTTTATATTTATTTGAAATTTTCTATAATAAAAAAGTTTTTAAAAAGCTACTTCCCTTAAGATTAAATATAACACCTTTCTCCTCTATTCCAGCTCAGGATGAGTCAGTGGCAGGAGCTGCCAAACTGCCAACTGCAAAGTTGGAGGATACATAGTGAGAAGCTCCATGCCCACTCTTTTCCTTGGGCTAGTCAGGCCACTCTTGGGAGTTTGGGTTGGGTTCCAGACATCCAGAGGATGTGATGTCTATGACAGAGCACCCAGAATGGTAAGGGCACCCAAAGCAGGGTTGGAAATGGAATGATTCCACAAGGAGAAGGAATCCAATAAAGGGGAAAAACATCCTCGAACATTTGTAGACTGTTGTGCACAAGAGGACTTAGGATTTTCCCTATAGCCACAGAGGGGAAAAAACTTGGACCAATGAGTAGAATTTACAAGGTAAAACTCAGTTTAGTGTCCTTTATGAAAGACAGGAGTTACTTTCCACAGGAAGCTGCTGACTATAGAATGGTGTCTTAGAGAAGACTTCAGTATCCAAATGGGGATTCCTTTTCAGGGCCTCTGAAGTCATTTCTAGCCTTGAAAGTCTGACTCCTCAGAAATTAATTAACAGTGGTAACCCTCAAAATAATAGTGGTAATATCTCCCATATATTGAGTACCTATCTTGTTCTAGGAGCTGACCTCTGTCATGCATTGTACAATTTAATCAATACATCAGTCAACAAGTACAAATTTTCTGTCTGATATCACATAAGATACAAACAATATACGGCATAGTCCCTCTCTTTAAAGAGCTTATAATCTAGGGGTGCCTGGGTGGCTCAGGTGGTTAAGCGTCCAACTTCGGCTCAGGTCATGATCTCACAGTTTGTGGGTTCAAGCCCCACGTTGGGCTCTGGGCTGACAGCTCAGAGCCTGAAGCCTGCTTCAGAATCTATGTCTCCCTCTCTCTCTGCCCCTCCCCTGCTCATGCTCTGTCTCTCTCTGTCTCAAAAATAAATAAAACATTTTTTAAAACTTTAAAAAAGTAAAGGGCTTATAATCTAGTTGCTAATCAAAATTTGTATACAAGTAGTATAATATCTGTATGAATATTTTCACTTTATAAAATACTTTCAGGGGCGCCTGGGTGGCGCAGTCGGTTAAGCGTCCGACTTCAGCCAGGTCACAATCTCGCGGTCCGTGAGTTCGAGCCCCACGTCAGGCTCTGGGCTGATGGCTCGGAGCCTGGAGCCTGTTTCCGATTGTGTGTCTCCCTCTCTCTCTGCCCCTCCCCTGTTCATGCTCTGTCTCTCTCTGTCCCAAAAAAAAAAAAAAAACGTTGAAAAAAAAAATAAAATACTTTCATGTATATTATTTCATGTATTTTTTGAAACATCCCTGAGAGGTAGATATTGTTTTTATTATCACATTAGCGAATACTAACAGCTAATATTTTAAATTACTCTCTTCCTCTGTGAGTGTCCAGTTTCCAATTTGCTCATCATGAGCCTAGCTCTGATCAAGAGAAGAAGACTATCCTCTCAATTTTCTTTATTTTCATTTCCCTCTCATCCCAATAAGGGAGTTAAATTAAACATAATAATCCAAAAAATAATAACAGTAATAATAGTAATAATCCATGTTTTTAAAAAGGAAGCAAGTATGCTAATCATCCAATGACAAATACTGCCCAGCAGCTGAGACAAAAAGCAAACATGCTAAATTAGGTAAGTTTTATTATCTATAAGGACTCTGACACTTGTTTGTTGTTCCTGGTTTTAAAAGAAACAAAACAAAACAGACAAAGCCTGGGTCTCTTTTAAAGTTGAACTTTGAAACAAATGTTAATATTAACATTACTTGATCTTAAGTGGAAAATCTGTGAACACATGTAAATAGTCAGAACTAAAGGTGGGACTGAGAAGTCAGGTTTGGAGGGATTGAATCCCCCAGGTATCTGGACCAGATCTCAGAACCAAGGACAGAGCCGGGCTGTGACTAGTCAGCTTCTGCCTTCAAAGACCAAAGACATTCCACCCCACAAATCTGTCATGAAACAAACAAAACCACACATGTGACATTGGTACACCATGCAAGTTACAAGCATGGACTCTAGGGTCCAACTACTCATGTTCAAACCCTGGCTGTACCACCTGCTAACTGCATCCTTTGGCATAGTGTGATCTTTATGTCTCTGTGCTCCTTTTTCTCATCTATAAAGTGAGGATAATCATACTTACCTCATAAGATCATTGTGAAGATTAAATTATTTATGTGTGAAATTCTCCGAACAATGTCTGAGGAGGTGAAAATTACTTAATAAAACCTTTTTTCATTTATTGATTTTCCAGAGCCTTGAGATCTCAAGATGTGGGAGGAAAAGGCAGACAGGGAGCTACAGAGTCTTACTGGGAAGAGGGGCAACTGTCATTGAATCATAAGGAATGAGGACACAAGGGCAAGGTTTGACCACATTCTCCTACCACTGTAGCCTAAAGCCCCCAAGGGAGGAGATAAACAAAGGCTGCCCCTGGAGGTGACCCAGGCTGGGCACTGCAGTTAGTCAGTTGGCTGTCACCGAGCCATTTGGAATTCTTGGCAAGGATTACTGATGCCAGTATGAGAAGTGTGCCAGCCCCAAGGCGTGTCCTGCCCTGGGATAGATCCAAAAAGAGTGAAGCACAGCGTGGCAACTGAGCAAAGGCTGACCCAGTTGGCTTAACTCCAAAGACACCCTCAGCACCCTCCTCCTCTCTTCTTCTCTCACTCCATACGTAGCTGCTAAGGTAACGTCCTGCAGGCCACATTTTGAGCATGTTGCTCTCTGATTCGGCAAACATCACGGGTCCCTATTACTCTGAAAAACTCATAGAGTCAAATACACCATCACATATTATAATTTAATGAAGAAAAGGAAACAGAGACCTGAGAGGAGGCAAGGAAGAGTCTCTATATAAGAGAACAATGGGCAGGTGATACGCTCAGGGACAAACTCCTAACCTGACAGTGTCTACCTGGGTCCCCTCTTGGCTTTGAGCCTCCAAGCGGATGAGAGTATTTTAGGAGAGAGGAGCGATTATAGAGAGGTGTGGCTAAAGGCAGGGGAAATCCTACAGTTGCACATCAAGGTCCAGTCTCAGTATTTGATGCAGGAGCTCTGGTCACTGCTGGTGGCAGTCTGCACGATCCTAGCCAAGGAAGAGGATGAACTGCTCAGTCTGGGACTCTGATCCATGGAGATGCTCGTGCTTCTGGACTGGATGCCTTTCCCACATTGGTGGACTCACTGTCCCTTTGGATGCCCTGGCCACCTCTGTTGCCCAAATGCCATTGCTGCTGCTGCTGCTAGTGCTCCCAGCACTAATGCTCTTGCTGCTGGATGTTTGGCTGACCACAACAGAAAAAAAAAAAAAAAAAAAAAGGAGGGGGCTGCTCGGTGTCATCTGTCTGTCTAAATGTCCACTGTATGCATTCCTATCTTTGGAATGAGTGTCAGAGAAAATTCAAAAAAAGGTGACCACCCTCCCATGGTAGGGAGTTCTTTGTCTGAGGGGGAATCCAGGACACACACTGGATAGGACATTAGATAAGTCCTACCCAAATACGACTCTCCCTTTGCCCCTCCCTTTCTTTTACTCTTGGAATCAAACCGTGGAAAAGACAATTTGCAGGTAGGCAAGCTGAAGCAAAGCCACAAGAAATCATCTCAAACAATAGAAATGGAGTGTGTAAGATACTAACAGATGCACACTGGGCTCTGACACTCCCCAGACATCTTGTTTAGGAAAACAAAATAAATAGGATGGGAACCTCATGGTGGTTCCTCTCAGCATCTCTGTTCAGAATTATCCCTTGGGATGCCAAAGTACAATAATCTGAGTTGCAGCATCAGGGATTGAAATTAGACGTGAGAAGGGCTTCCCTGGGATTCTAGGATGGGGATGCAGAGAACAGAGATATAACGTGTCTCTGGATACTTGGCTCTGTCATCACCTTGGCCTTGATTCCCTCACTGACAAACCTGGGATAATATACTTCTTCATCAGTTTGTTGAAGAGAGTAAATTAAGCCATGAAGAATGTCTAGTACAGTGCTTGGCCTATACCAAAAGTGACACAGCTTTGATCTGTGCCAGAGATATAGAGTCAAAGAAGCGAGACTGATGCAGAGAGGAGTGGAAACCAGTTTGTAGAACTGGAGGAGCAGGCTACCAGGACCACCTAGTATCCATCTTGTATTGTCCACCATCCCAGGATTGACTGACACTGACCTTTGGGAAGAACCATATGCCTGTTGGAAAGCACTAAGTGTTCAGCTGTAACAAATATATAAAGTTGGTGTTGTCCCCGAGCCCAAAGGGGGAGTGCTAGGCAGTATAATTCAGTTAAGCGAGCATTTGTTAAGACCCTCCTTTGTTCCCTACCACTGTGTCTAGCCAAGGGCCATACAATCCTTTGAAACTTGATTCTCAAGTTGCCCTCCTTGCCTTGGCCAGAGTCCCCACACACCTGCACTCCTCACCACCCAGCATCTTCTGGTAGGTGGCAATCTCCACATCCAGTGCCAATTTGACGTTCATCAGCTCCTGGCAGTCACACAGGAGATAAGGCTGGTATTCTGAAATGGGAGGAGAAAAAAGAGAAGGGCTGAATCTTTAAACCCACCTGGGCACATAGCAGGTGACCACAGGTCTCCCTCCAACTGTCTTAATGAAAACTTCTAAGCTGTGTGCTGTGTTGTTAACCATGCTAACTTCTTCTGCCCATATCATTCATATCCATGTAGCTACACTATGCTAGGAAATTCCAGTGGTTATTTGAATCCTTACTCAGAGATATTGGTCACCTGCTTCCCAATCTCTTAAATCTCATACCCCACGGTATGAGACCCCAGAAACTCAATGCCACATATTTCATGGAGTCTGGGGCCACACCCAATGACATGAGGGAAGACCATTCTATCTTGAAGATGATGGCTGGGAGTAAAGGTAACATACATGAAGCCATAGCTCTGTATGGTGTATCTTGGGAAGCCCCCTGTAGGTTCCAGTGAGGACCTGAAAGGCTTTCCAGCCTGCTAGGTTCAGATACCCCACCAGCATCAGAGTTACAATCCTAGGCTTTGGGGAGCCACACCTGCCTGCTTCTTGGTGCCCTCAATCTTTGCCCACAGCCTCTGGACCATCCTTTTGAGCTCTGCAATCTCATTCTTGGTGCTCCTCAAGTCAGCGCCATACCAGCTGGCTATAGTCTGCAGCCTCCCAAGCTAGAAGGTGTGGAGCAGATAGGGAGAGATTATCTCTAACCCTCAAATACATGTGTGTTAAAAGGAGAATAGGGGGAGCCTAGGTGGCTCTGTCAGTTGAGTGTCTGACTTAATTTCAATTCAGGTCATGATTCCTGGGTCGTGGGATTGAGCTCTCCATTGGGCTCCATGCTAAGAATGGAATCTGCTTAAGATTCTCTCTCTCTCTCTCTCTCTCTCTCTCTCTCCTTCTCTCTCTCTCCCTCTGCCCCTCTACCCCCACCTAAAATGAAAAAATAAAATACAATGAGAATAGAAGTGCAGTTAATCCAGAAAGTCCTAACATTACATGGAGGTCCAGCAGGCATTTAGAATGAAAAGTATTGCTTAACTAAAAATGTGCATTATCTGGGATGGGGCCAGGAGGGGCTGGAGGTGAAGGAGCAGGAGCCCTGGGTGAGTCTAGACTGATGCAGTCACCCTTATTTACCTTGACCTGGTACAGCCTCTTAGCCTCAGCCTTGCTCCCCTGGGTGATCTCTTCATACTGGGCCTTGACCTCGCTGATGATGCTGTCCAGGTCCAGATGCCAGTTGTTGTCCATGGACAGGATAACAGACATACCACTGGATTCTGACAGCACCTGGTTGTACTCCTACATGCCCTCAGGAGCACACCTTTGCACAGTGTTGCCTTCTCTCTGGGATGCCCTAAACCTTCCATGCACTGGCTCTGGAACTTTGTGAGATCTAGAAAACTAAATCTCACTGGGGGGAAAGGAAGGGGACAAGACAGAGACCCAGAAACCACGCAGCAAGAAACTTCCCAGCAGGCAGTGAGGGATTTCCCTTAACTCTCCCAAGGATTTCCATTGGGAGGCTATGTACACAGAGATTCTAAAGATATGAGCTGCAGATTCTGAAAGCTTGGAGCCAGGGGAAGGAGAACGTAAGCAATATTACCAAGGAGGTATAAAATTGAAAAAATAAAAAAGAAATAGGGATAAAGATGGGAAAGACTTTGCAAATGTTTGCTGCCAAATAGATTTCACAAAGGAAGCTGAATGCCCAGAATCAAGCAAGATCTGACACCACATGTTGTGGCTTCCACCCTACAGGATAGTATAGAGGTGCTTACCGCTTCAAAGAGGGCTTTCAGGAAGTTGACGTCACTGGTCAGACTCTCCATTTTTATTTCCAAGTCCACTTTGGTCATGCAGGAAGTATCCACATCCCGAAAGTAAAAAAAAACAGAGAACCAGCCTTCTTAGTTTTAGTATTGCTCTCATTCATTACCATTGCATTTAAGAATATTGATACTGGGGCTCCTGGGTGGCTCAGTTGGTTAAGCATCTGACTTCGACTCAGGTCATGACCTCACGGTTCGTGGGTTCCAGCCCTGCTTCAGGCTTTGTGTTGACAGCTCAGAGCCTGGAGCCTTCTTTGGATTCTGTGTCTCCCTCTCTCTCTCTCTGCCCCTCCCCCGCTTGTGCTCACTTGCTCTCTCTCTCTCTCTCTCTCTCTCTCTCTCAAAAATAAATAAGCATTTTTTTAAAAGATACCATGCTTATGTAGTTGTGGGAGCAAAAATCACTTAAACCAGACATTACACTTGCAGTAGAGAGTTTTGACAATTAAGCTCAGTGTTAGAAAAGATCTTTATTATCGATTTTTGTAATTTTTAATAGTTGGAAATAAACTGTAATATGTAAGGACTGGCTTAAAGCCATTTTGCAACTGATAAACCAAACACACTTGAGAGATATCTTAGCTACAGAAAGAAAACCCTCAGGGCGTAGGTTCAGACTCAAGGCTGGCACTGTCCCGGGTTCTGGTCATTAACACTTGGAATCCTGCTTGGGACAAAGTATTCTCCAGTCTCACATCCCTGGGAAGGCACCACCATTCCCCCTTCCCTCATGCCATCTCCTCCCTGTGCTGTCTTGTTCTTCCCCACTGGCCTGCTCATCTTCTTCAGAACCGTGAACTCATCCTCAGCCTCTGAGCACTTGTTAAACTCATCCACGTACCTATGAGAAAGGAAGGAGGTCATGCTTAAGGGTGGCTGAGCCAAGGGTATGTGCACATGTGCCCAGGGAAAGGTGTTTTTTCCAGGAGCTAGTGTATAACCTGGGGCAGGGCTGCAGGTGGCTATTCTCTGGATAAAACCAGGCTAAAGCCAGTTGAGTGGCATGCTTTATTATGATGGTAGGGCCTTTAAGAGCACATTGGCACCCCGTTTCTGACACTACAGGGTATTGGAAATAAGGGGAGTGGGGAAGAGGGGAAAGTGGGTAACAGGCATTGAGGAGGGCACCTTTTAGGATGAGCACTGGGTGCTGTATGGAAACCAATTTGACAATAAATTATATTTAACACACACACAAAAAGGAAATAAAACATGTGGTGGAACTGGTACATAACCCCTGGTGTCCTTGGACACCACATTCATAGAGGTCTCTGAATTCTCCACTGCAGGAAGTCAGTCTCATCCTCATGAACAAAGACCCATGGTCACTCCCAAGGCCACCTTCCATCTGCCCCGGAAGCTCCCAGCTGTTCCGTTCTCCATCTGTGTCCTACCTCCCCTTGAATCTCCCTCATCATCCAGGACAAACACATTCTCTAACTGGTCCTCACTCTTGGCGGTACGTTGAAATCATCTGGGGCTCTATAAAAGCTACCAATGCCTGGCTCCAATGCCCAGAAAACCAATGAGTCATGAGTGCAACCTGGACATTCAGAAGTTATAAAGCTCCCAAAGTGATTCTGGTAAACAACAAAGGATGAGATCCACTGTTGTTAATGCTAGAGTGCCTGACATCTTCCTGTGTCTAAAGGAGCTCCCTAGATGCCCATGCTGTGACATACACCTCATTCTCCTTGCCACCAACACAAATATCAAAAAAGAGCAGATCCTCCTGTCATCAGACCCCCAACCTGATACCCCATCCTTTGGCCTACAGACTCAGGTCCTTGAGGACATGCACCAACAATTTCCTGGCTGGAAAGCCTCCACACCTCCTGACCTGCACCACAATCACCTAGACTTCACTCACTTCCTCTCATATTCCTCCACAAGAGTCTGCATCATGCTCTGCATTGTGCTCCATCCAGCTGATGCCATTCACTCAGCAGCCTGTCCAGGTGGGCTCGCAGGCAGCTGGTGTAGGACTCAAAGAAGGGCTTCAGGTCACCGGTGCTGGCCTTGGAGATGGGCGGCTGCTCCTGCAGGAGGCACCACTTAGTCTCCAGTACCCTGTTCTGCTGCTCCAGGAACCACACCTGTGGTCAACAAGGGAGGAGACCACATGGCCTGCCCAGCCTCCAGCTCATGAGCAGACCCACTGCCCCAACCCAGACTTCGTGTTCTCAGACCTCTTCCCCACCATGAGCCCTCACCTTGTCGGCGAATGAAGCAAACTTGTCATTGAACATCTTGATTTGCTCCTTCTCTTGGTCTTCACCCTCCTGATCTAGAGGGTCGATTCCCATGTTCAGGGGCTGAAGGAGGCTCTGGTTGATGATCACCTCCTGGATGCTGAAGGGAAAGCCCCCTGAATCCCCAAGGCCCCCTGATCCACCAGGAATGCCTCCAAAACCACCATATCTCCATTGCCCCTTCCTCCAGCCCCACACAGCCTTCCTCTAAAGACACCTGAGTAAACCCATCAGAGCCCCCAGCCTGGACAGCACATCTGGCCACACTGAGAGAGACCTTCCTTCTCCTCCCAAGGCTGTTACATGCTCTGGCTGCCAAAGGCACCCCCTATCATGGCACAGGCTGTGGAGGCACTGCCTCCCCCAGAGCGCGAGGCTGAGTGGGACCTGGTGGGGCTGATACAGCCCTGGCTGGATGCCACGACAGCGGAGCGACCCCTTGAGCCCTTGGTGGCCTGGGACAGCCTGCTGGACTGCTGGCTCATTACTTTCTCTGGGCACAGGAAGATGTCCTGGTTCAGATGTCTCTGAGGAAAGGGCACCTTCTGACACAGGGAGATAGGTGGCCCCTTTTATAGGTCTCAGTGAACTGGTTTATTAATTGGATGATTTCCAAGGTTTCATTCTCTGGCTACAACTAATCCCCACACCAATTTCATTCGCTGTAATCCCAGAGTCTCTATTTCAAGTCTTTCCTGTAATTAGCCTTTTACAGACTTTGCGCACTACTGAACCAGGGCCCTCCCTTGATGAATGAGCTTGGCTCCTGCCAGGCATGGCTCAGTCCCAGGGCCCCAGGCACCAGCTTCTCAGGAGGCAGCAGGTTCAACTGGGTGACTCTGTGGCTTTTTCATTCCCCCAAAACTCTGGGCGTCCACTGGTGTCACTGTGCTGTCTGCCTCCCAGAACGAACTCTACACAGGAGTCTGGGAAGAGTTTGGGAAGACAGAGTGGAAAGTGGGCTCCCTTCTAACTGTAGCACCTACAAATCTCACAGTGTGTCCCCATGGAATTCACCAGAGAGCCTCTGCTGGTGCATCCCTGGTTCTACAAGCAGCACCTCTGCTACCCCAGTCACAAGGGTGAGAATGTTCCAGACTGACCCAGAGGCCTGAGTAAGTGGACTCAATACCAAAGACATTCATCTGAGCATTAACAGTGTTCACTATTGGGGTGACCAAGAGATCTCTACTGTCTCCTCTGTCTCCCTGTGGCTCCCTGCATGGTTTTATTGCTCCTGTTCAACTCACTGCCCTGGGAGCCTCCACATCCCCTTTTGCACTCCCATGCCAGGTTTCTTCCCTTTTCAAATGTGCCTCCTCGGTTCCCTTTCCAGAAAGCCTCCCCCTTTCAGGCTCCTGTGGGTTCTGCTACCTGCATTCCCTTTCTTCCTCTTTCCTGCATGAAGGCTGCAGCCCTGCCCCCTCAACAATAGACACCATGGGCAAGGGCGGGGGGGTCTTATCTGTCTGGTGCAACAGTGCCCCCATCACCCAGCACTGCACCTGGGCCCAAGTTTTGTAGAATGAATGGCTGCCCAGTTTTTCCTGCTTCTGGTACTGCCCCTCTACATGAGTCCCTGTGTGTGTCCCACCTCCATTGTCACACTGGACAAGAAAGCCTTTTCCCTTAGGACATTCCTCCCACCCAGATTGTCTCTTACCCCAAGCTCAGGACTGAGCCTGGCACATGTGAGGTCAGGATACGGTTTTAAGACAAAAACTGGTAAATTAGCTGCCATTTGTGTGGATGGCTTCTCTCTCTGCTAGATATGCCAGCTGTGTATCAAACCCATTTTAAGCGCACAGGAAATGCAACCAGATAGCCCATGGGTGGGAGAAGGGACCCGACTCATCAGAAGGCCTTGAACCTCCCTTGAATTCTCACATTCTCTTATCTTCATAAGCCCCCTTAATCTCACCTTGGATGCTTGTTGTGGCAACCTGACCACCTTCGGAGCCTGGGAGAGAGGCTGCATTGTCCTCAAAAAAAAAAAAAAAAAAAAAAAAGTGATTTCATTAAGAACTCCACACTTGGGGTAATAGCAAAAGCCACCCTAGCTACAAGGAGAGATCAGAATCTGGTGGTTTCTGGTGAACCTGGGCCAAGGAAAAGGACCCACTACAGTGGGAGGGATGCCAGAAGACCTTGCCAACAGAGAGGTTAGGAGAGCTGGAGCACTCGGGGCTGCTGTGGTATCTCCCCTGGAAGGAAAGGAAGTCATGATTGGGTGTCAGACATGGATCCATTGCCATCTGACCCTGTGTGAGAGACCTGAGTACCTTCTAGTCACACGAGGTGGAAAGAAGGAAGGGAAAAAGTCAGGCAAGGTCAGGGGCACTAGAGTTTACAGAGTTCTTTCTGCTTCCAGTAAGAGCTTACACTGGGCTTGGAATACACATTTCCTCACACCTCAGCATCTGCATGGACCTAACACCATGCCTTGCCTCTATAGACAGCACCATGGGAATAGCTCACCAGATGGCAAGTCAGCTCTCAAAGATTTGTGGGAAACGTACTCATTGCAAGGCACACAAGACAGCACAAGAGCTAAAGTTTAGGCAAAAACAGGTCTATTCAAACATTTATTGAGCATCTTTTGGTCATAGAGCAAGGAATTCAGAGGAAAAAGGAGATGTGTTCTATATATGTAGGAAGCAAACAGTCTGACACTCTCACCCAGGACACGAGACAAGCACAGATGGAGCCAGTAATAGCCATGTGTCTATTGCAGTTATAGGAGGGGAGGGAAATGGGATCTGTGGAGGGAAGTTAGCCATGGAAGGTTTCCCAGAGGAGATATCATGAGCCAATTTGATAAAGAAGATGCACAGCATCCCATGTTGGGATGAAAAGACTTGCAGGGACCAGCCTGTGCAGCAAACATTACAGTTTTATTTGAAGCAGGATCATCAGAAGCTACTTAAGGCAACAGAGGGTAGTATGTTATATACACAGATGCGGGGGCGTGTACCAGCATGACCCATTGCGTGGGAAGAAATTATGCCGGTCATGGCAACCTGGAAAACTATGGTGGGTCATGGAATTGGACATGGTTCGCTTCTCCCCCAAAGACCCACCCAGAACCTCTAGTCTCTCCTTGCTCCCATCCACCCCTACATCGCTGCCAACATGATCTTATACAAATACCACTTTCAACCTGTCACTCTTCCACCCAGAAAATGACTAGGCCTCCTGTTCTAGAAGAATGAGCTTCTCCCTTGACCTCTAATGCCCTTCCTCCTCTGCCTCTTATTCCTTCCTCCTTCCCCAGTGCCTCCCTTTAATATTAAGGCCTTACCACTCCATCCAAGTCAATTTTCTTCCTATCGTTTGGTGGGAAGTTGGACCAAACCACTTCCGAAGTTTCTTCCACCCCCTGGGTTCTGGGATGCTATAATGCTTCCCCACCTTCCCTCGCCATCACCCTTGGAGACTTTTGCCTCTGAGAGTGTGATCCACCCTGCATCCTGACCCAGGAATTCCTTGATCTTCTCAATTACACTCATCTTCTTCCTCCTCCACCTCAGCCACCCACTCAGGGCCATGCCCTGGGTCATCACAAAGAAATGTTCCCTCTTGGAAGCTTAAATCCCAAATCCTACTCTCTGGCCATAATCTTTCATCCTTCAGTTTACTCCCACCTACCTCCCACCACACCTGCTCTTCAGTGTTATAAATACTAGCATTGTCTTCATCCCTTCATTTTCTCCTAGCCTATTAGCCCTCTCACGGCCTCTTTTCCTGTTCTTCCCAACCTAAGCACTACTCATTCATTCAACAAATACCTTTTTAGTATCTATTATGTGCCATGCACTTACCAGGTGGTAGGGAGTGGTGAACAAAATTAATACTGTCTCATCCCTCATGGAACAGTCTACTGACCATCTGAACAACCTTTTCACCAGCATCCTCCATTTCCTTATTCTGCTATCTTCCACCAGTCACCTAACGAAGTCCCAGGTCTAGGAGGAGGCTACAACATTCTTTTCCCCTCCTATCCCAAGAGCTGAGCCCTGCTGGGAGAATCACACAAGCATGTAATCTGGGGCACAACAGAGTCCTGATCTCCACTTCAGCTGGGGGTTCAATCCGTCTCTTGTCCTGTCATCTTCTCATTCATGCCTTTGACCTTTGTCCCAAACTTCCACCACTCTCTTCCAGCCGCTTCTTAGTCCCCACTTTCTGTTCAAAGAAGATGACCTGGCTTCCTACTTCCCTGGGAAAATTTAGGTTATCATAAGTGATCTCCTTTTGGCATCTCTTCCATGCCTTCACTCTTAGCTGCCTCCACACCCACCTTATTTTTCTTCCTCTTGTACAGGGTTACAAGACAGCCTCCCTACCCACCTCCTCTAGTTTTTTACTCAGTTACCCTCTTTCCCACCATGTCCTCAATCTCTATTCTATGCCCAAGTCTTTCCCATCTTTAAAGTCCCCATCTTGACCCCATGACACCTTCTTGCTATTATCCTGTCTGTCTCTTCCCTTTCTCAACTAAAGTTCTCAAACGGGTAATCAAAATTGACATTATCCATTTCCCTATCACTGGTCAACTCCTAAACCTATGAAATCTTCTTCTGCGTATAATCACCATATTATGGGCACCACAGTCCTGAGAGTACATTCTTTGTGGCTTCCTAAAAGCCAAATGCAGTATAAACCCTTAGGCCCTCATCTCCTCATAGATCTCTCTGCTACAGTTGAAACATGGTAGTAGCATGTTTTCATGAAAACCATTGTTTTCAGTATCACTTCACTAACTTGCACATATTTTTTTGAATCTCGTCATTCCTTAAAGGGCTATAATACACATAAATAGGTTCCAGTCTTCATTCTCATGTAACTTGGCAATTTTCTTTCAGATGTGGTGGATAAACCATGGATAGATCCAATTTATCAGGAATTTGGACAGAGCATTCCTTGCCAAAGAAAGCACATACCCATTCTTTGCAGACTGAAGTCAATCTAAAGCCCTACGATTCTGTGGGACCCTGGGCCACAAGGGTAACTTGCTCACTTGGGTGAGCAAGTTAAAAGAAGTGGTGGTGTTATTACTGTCTCGTTCTAGAAAGACAGTGCCAACCCTGGATGAAACGGTGTAGAAGCAGGCCAACTACAGATACTAGAGACCAATGAATCAACAAGGAATTAGAGATATTTCCCCTCCTCCCAGATCTCAGAGTTCAAACACAAAACCACCTGGGAGGCCATGTACATTTATGTGGGTTGTGTCCTTCACAAGAGTGATAAAGAGCCAAAATTTAACTTAATGCTCTGGTAACCAACCTGTGTGTGGTGGCATGGGCTGTGTCCATCTGGAGCACAGGCATCTTTTACTTTACACAAAGTGTTGTCCTCTGCCAAGCCTGTAGAGCTGTATCTGCACAGAGTGGACACCTGTTTCTAATTCACAGAAAGACCAGCCAGGCCAAGAAGACCTTGGAACACCAGAGTTGGACATAATAAGCCTTGGGACAAAAAGAATCCACTACTAGAAAACATTTGCTTCTCTTGTATCCCACTGGTATTTGGGTCAGTCAAGACATGTTGTAGTAAAACTACCTGAGTTCAAATTCTGACTCTCCAGCTCCTGATTACATGATTTTTCATAAGTTGCTTAATTAGCACGCTGTGCCTTGGCTTCCCTCAATAAGCTAAAGATAACAATATGATCTACTTCATAATGTGGTTGTAAGAATTATTTTAGAACAGGCCCAGGTGTATAACAGCACTCAGTACACATTAACTCCTAGCTAATAGTGTCATCCTATGTATAATGACGGAAGATCATCTCTTGCATATCAACCAAACAACATAACTGCCTATTACCAGGGTCCTTATCAGGGGTGTGTGTGTGTGTGTGCATGTGTGTGTTTGGTGGCGGGGGCAGGGGGGTGGGGGGTTCCCTGTTGCTGTTTAGTGTGTTAAAAAGAAAGCCACAGTCCCTTGGGGCGCCTGGGTGGCTCAGTCAGTTGAGGGTCCGACTTCGGCCCAGGTCATGATCTCGCAGTCTGTGAGTTCGAGCCCCGCGTCAGGCTCTGTGCTAACAGCTCAGAGCCTGGGGCCTGCTTCAGATTCTGTCTCTCCCTCTTTGCCCCTCCCCCACTCATGCTCGCTCGTGCTCTCCCTCTCTCTCTCTTTCTCCCTCTCTCTGTCAAAAATAAAAACAAAAAAAAAATTTTTTTTTTTAAAGAAAGAAAGCCACAGTCCCCAAACAGAATCATTTAGGACAAGTCAGCAAACCAAGAGTTACTACCTAAACTAACTGCACTTTTTGACACCCACCCCCCCCCACCCCCCCGCAGAAACGTAACCTTTAACTAGCCAATGCAGAATTTTCTCATCAATACTAGGAAATTTACTGATAAACATCTTCCACTCCTCTTAAAAGGGTTACCTTGTCTGAACAATGATTCCTTGCTAGTAAATTCCTTTCTCCTTTTTTTATGCCCCCTCTCTGCCTTTAAAATCCTTTTGTTCAGTTCAGTGGAGCCTCTCTATACTTGTTAGTCAGGATGCAGCCCAATTCTTGAATCATCTAATAGAGCCAATTAGAGGGGCACCCAGGGGTGGCTCAGTTGGTTGAGCTTCCAACTC